CATTATTGCCCCCAGATTATAAGTTAAGACGTTTGCACCGTCAAAACCTTTCCACGACTCAGACTCCGTGTAACTGTATCCCTTTGTCTCAATGTCTAAACTTAATGCAAGGGATTAATAAAATCTTGCTTGTATCCATTAAGTCATTCACTGATTTATCAAGTCTGACTGATAGGAACAGACGTCATAAAAGCATCTCAGCATGGCCATGCAATTTCCTCAGTCATAACTTATCAGTAGGCCCCATAAGACATTAATCTCTTTAAAAAGAGTAGTGACAAATCCTATGTACGTAATCTACGTATCTGAATACGCGCTGCGGCATACCCAAAACAAAGCCTGTATACCATCCTTATTTCATATGGCTTAGGACAATGCATCAAAGCATGCGGGTTCACATATGCAGAAAACGTAATACTTCAAGTCGAAGGATAGTTACACCCGTGGTCGCGCTAAAGATGCTTAGAGCATGAACTAAAAGTTCAAGCAACATCTTTAGGATGGGTCAGTCCGGCATCCTATTATCTCTAGATAATATCTGCCCATGTGCGGATGCGAACACACCGTCATTGACTATGAGACTAAGTCAAACATCCAACACACACTAGTCTCACATGCATTAACGATATCCCACTCTCGTTAATACTCGACTATGGACATTTAGATAAATATTTATTTCAAGATGTTAGTCTCATCAGCAGAATAACATTATCTGATAAACATCTTTTAAATATAAATCTAGGAATATAATATTTGTTTACATTAGCATGAGATGTGTAAACATATTATATCTGCCAATACATGATAGAATAATGATAAACAGTTGGCCATCAGGGCACAACTCCAACAGCTTCCACCTGCTATAGCGGCAACTTCAAACTTCTCGATGCTGGCATGATCAAGAATCTCCACTCGTGCAAGTTTTGAGACATGCTCGGGGGCATACTGCGTCAGTTTGGAGAGAAGGTCGGCATCCGCGTTCTCTGCCCGGGGGATTTGGGCGATCTTGAATTCGTCGAAACCTTTCAACAAGGCAAGTACTAGGTCCTTGTATTGCGCCATTCGCCCTTCTCTGGCTTCCATGTTGCCGGTCACTTGCCCAACGATCAAACTGGAATCAGATTTTATACTAACCCGGTTAATCTTCAGGGCTTGGGCAAGTCTGAGCCCTCCAGCTAGAGCTTCGTATTCTGCCTCGTTGTTTGTGAGCTTGAAGTTGAAGATGATTGCATGGTAAATCTTGAACCCTTCCGGGGTGGTAAAAACTATACCACCCCCGTAACCTTTAGGACCGGACGCCCCGTCTACTGCCATCTCCCACCACTGCTCGGTAGGCTTGTCGACCGGTGCATCTGGAGTTACACCGGTCATTTCCACAAGGAAGTCCGCAAGGGCTTGCCCTTTGATTGCTGATCTCGGCCGGTACTCAATGTTGAATTGAGTTAACATCATCGCCCATTTCACCATCCTCCCGGAAGATGTTGAATTTCGCAAGACTGCACCCAGCGGTTGGTCAGTCAAGACTTCTATCGGGTGAGCTTGGAAGTAGGATGTTAACTTTTTTGCGGAGATGAAAACTGCGTAGGCTGTCTTTTCCATCGCCGTGTATCTACTTTCTGCTCCATTTAGTGCTTTGCTCACATAATAAATAGGCTTTTGCGCCCCATCATCTCTTATTAAAACAGAGCTTACAGCATTTGGGGAAATTCCCAGGTACAGATTGTTAGACGCCTCGCACACCTCTAGAGGGGGGGTGAATAGAGGTGTTGCCCAAAAGACCAGTTTTTTGCGCGGAAACGTTCTTCACGAATATTCAATAAAAACAATGCACCACAAACAAAATAAAGTGAAGGATAAGAGCAATGCACACACGATATATACTGGTTCGGCCTAAATGCCTACATCCAGTCCCCGAAGCAATCGTGCCCAGGCCTTCACTAACCCGTCAAACTTAATGGAGTTTGACAATCCGAATACAACTCGAGAACTTGATTTCACAAGCCTCTTATCTTACCACCGAAGTTTTGATTTCACAAAACTCAGGATTTCTTCCACCTAACATTTGATTTCACAAACCGTTAGGATTTCTACCACTTGGTGTAATCCCAACACCAAGAATACAAATCCCTTACAATAAAGTAAGAAAAC